AGACAGCCTCCACACAGTCCTCGTTGCCGAACGAACTCCTGCCGCTCCTTCAATGACATCTTCATGAATGCTGCACACTGATCCATGGAGTGATCGTCCTTACAGATGACGCAGTACTGCTGCTGAAGCTGCAGGTTTTCCTGTCTCTGATTCACTGGCACAGATGTAAGAAGCACATGTGTGTTTCTTTCCTTCTTTGTCGGTGGTCTCTTCCTGTCTTCTTCTCGATTCCGTGACGTCACAGGAACAGAAGAGACTCTTGCCTCCTTGCTCATGAAAGAGACGAACTGTGAAAAGGGAGGATACTGAGGCATGGCACCATCTTCAGGTTCGTGTATCCACCTGTCCACCACCCGTCTCCAACTGTCACTCATGTACCTTGGCAGTTTTCTGATGACCATGTCAATCTCATGCATGCCTTCAAACATCTTCAGCTCTTGCATGGAGTTTGAAACCATCAAACACTGTTCAAGAAAGTCAGCCAGTTCAGTGAGTGACTTACTGTCTCCTACCTTCACCTCTGGCCACTTGTACAACCTCTTCTTGAACTCATTGGCAGTGATGAAGGCATTGCCATATCGGTCTGTCAGTCGTTTCTTGGCCTGCATGTATGCGTCCTCTGAGCTCAGCTGTAGGAAACCGAGAATGGAGTTCCGAGCATCTCCAGCAGTGTAGTGCCCCAAGTAATGGAGTCGTTCACTTGGTGACGAGCATCTGGCCTCAATGTAGGCTTCGAAAGCCTTCAGCCACATGTGGAATGTCGTGTGGTCGCCTCTGAAGACGCTTGGCTCAATCTGAGGCAGACGATCTCTCTGAGCCTGCTGAGAAAGAAGCTCAGTCAACACAGACACAGTCACTGGTCCAGTTGCTGGCTCAGGACCTGGGGGTGGAGATGGTTCAACTGCGGTCAGCTGCGGGTTGGCACAGTTTGTCATGTCTGTGTTTGCTTCATGACAATCAGTAGTACATTCTCCCGTACTGACCTGGTTCACCTTCCTTGTCTGCAGGCTACCATCTCCAACTTCTTGTGGTGTCAGAAATGATGTGTCAATCTCCCTTTCCATATTCTCAATCACTTCTGTCTTTGCTTGCTGAATCTTCAGTTCAGTGTTCAGTTTGTGTCGTTCTTCTTTCCACTTCAGTTCTTGCATTTGGGTTTCCATCATTTTCATTTCTCTTTCCAGCTGGCACTTCTCCTCAAGAGCAGCTGCTCTTGTCTTGAGCTCCACTGTGCTTTGGCTTTCTTTTACTTTCAACATGTACAGCTGGGCTCTCATTGACATTCCTGATCTTGATGACCCGCTCTTCGCAGATGAACATTCATCTTGATCCTTTGCCTTCTTTTGGTTGACATCCTCTCCTTGGGCTGGTGTCAGAGATTCAATTGTTGCTCTCATGACCTCCAACTCCATCGGTTTCTGCTCATACGTTGTCCTGTGCTCATCATAATCTCCTCCCAGAAGAGTACACAGGTCACCATCTGTCTGTTTCAGTCTAATGTAAGTGTGCTGCCATCTGGAGATCTTTGCAACTGTTTGCTGCATCCTGTCTTCATCATCTTCAGATGTCAGATCATCCAGAAGCATCTTTCCGTCTTTCTCCAGCTTGATCAGCATTTGTCTGAACATCTTCAGCTTCAACTCCTTTTGGTACTGGTAACCCTTCTCAGTCATTTTCAGTGCCTGGGCGGGCCTTGTGACAACATGCTCTTGATCATCAGTCGGATCCATGGTGTGCAGGTAATTGGAATGACGAGGTAGGTATAGGATTCAACAAAATTCTGTTCTAAATCTACACTACCAGTTCATGTTAGTCATGTGCCACAGTTAGTGCCAACTACAACATAATAAAACAGGATCAATCATGGGTAGGTACACTGTTAGTTAAAAACACACCTCAAAATTCAAGCAAATAACTACACTGGAGGGAAACCCTGGTACGGCTTTGTCTCGTTGGGCCAGAGAGGAATTCATTTTGCCATAACTGGAGAGATTATTACTGTTACGGCAGGCAAAAGATTCGTTTCATAGGATTTATCTATTGTCGCCTCTTTGATGTACGTAATAACTGAAAAATACACATAAATAACAATCAGTCCATAAAAACGATAATTGATACAAATATGACGCTCATTCATATAAAACATAGATTATCACAGCCAAAATTATGAGAAATAAAGCAAATAAATGGTTAAATCAGTAACGTAACAAGTCAGTAACATATTGGCAAATCATTTGGATAATAACATAATCATAAATATCATCTATTCTGTCACATACTCTCTCCTTCCTTTGGCATAGCCCACGTGTCAGATATCTCAGCGCCGTATCACTGGCCACGACGCGCAGTGCGCCACGCAAACAAATCAAGGGCCGCGTTCGCCGCGCTATTCCTGGGGAAACCCGCAAGCAAATTGTAATGCGGGAACACCATCCACACAATGCTTTTCCTCCATGAAATTGGAAGGTGGAAAATTGTGTTAAGAATTTAGGGTAGGAGTGCAAAATGATTTTTTATTTTAATGTCATTTTCCACCCAAATATTGGGGCACATAAACAACAAATCTGGGGACACTTACTACTGGCATTCAAATTCAACTATTTTAGTTAACCAATTGCAGGTGTTTCATTGGTACTGACTTGGACATAATCAAATGCTAGCATAAGGACTACCGACTATCTGCCAGCTTTTGTAATCACATCCATGATGGAAGTGTTGGTCCTTAAATCGATAACCACTGCTTGCTATCCTCATACAGAGGTAAGGTTTCCAGGAACTTTTTGCATTACCTACCTATCACATTTTCCCCATGCTTCTGAAGTTACACTGAAACAGTATGACTTCTATGGGGTTTTTGGGGTGCTGATCATAAATATGTTAGTTTTGATCACAGATGATGTCTTTGTGCATTTGGGCCAGGTCAGGTCAACCAGTACATACAGGGTGTCCGGAAATTGATTGCACACTCTTTTACTACATTTGACAAGGAAACAAAACGAGCATGTTTCATGGTTTATTTGCCGATATACCCTCCACCCAGTCGCACACACTCCCTCATACGGTCGGGCATGCCGCACATTAGGTTATCCAGTGTCTCCGCACTGATGCTGAGCCACGCTCGCTGGAGGTTCCTGATTAGCGCCTTCTCGGTGGTAGCCGGCTCCATCATGTCGAGCTCGCTCTGCACGATAGCCCACACGTTCTCGATGGGCGACAGGTCAGGGCTGTTGCCCGGCCATACACCCTTCTCCCAAAACCCTGGGAGGTTGTCCCGGCACCACTGTTGAGTGCTGGTGGCGTGATGAGCCGGAGCGCCGTCTTGCTGGAAGATCGCCTCGGTCATCTTCGGGAGCAGCTCGACCTGTGTTGGCGGCCCCGTCTTCCTCTTCCGCTTCATCGCCGACGCTGCCGACTTCTTCAGGACCTCCTCCACGTAGTACTGGGCCGTCACGGTCTGGCCGCGGGGGACGAAGTGGAGCTCCGACAGGCCCTGATGACTCATCATGGCCCAGACCATGACTTTCAGCGGCTGCTTCACCGTGTCGATGGCAGGCACTTCAGCGCTGCTGTGCGCCCAGACGCGCTCGTTCTGGCGATTCGGCGGGTACATGAGCTCGAACACCGACTCATCGCTGAACAAAACGCGCCGCCAGTCCTGGATGGTCCAGTTCTTCCGCTCCCGGGCAAATGCCAGCCTTTTCCGCTTCTGGGCTTCGGTCAGTTTTGGCTGGCGGCGCAGTTTTAGCGGTTTGAGACCCAAGCACTTGGTCATGTAGTGGTGAACAGTGGTCTTCGACACCGGGTGACCCTTCTCAGTCAGCTTTTTGTCCAGTTTCCGCGTCGATTGGCGTCGTTTCAGCACGGCCTTGGCGAGCACGATTTTGGCCACTCTGCTCAGCACAGTCTTTCTCCCACGACCCTTACGATTCTCAAGTGATGCACCGCTGCGGTCGAGAGCTAGCCAGTAATGAAGGGTCCGGCGAGATATGCCCACTTGTCGGGCAACATCGCCTACCGTCATCCCGGCTTGAACCATCCCAACCGCGCGGTGGCGCGTCGTCAAAGTGTGCTCCCTCACCATCCCGATATGGGGCCCGCGCGCGAAGACTGCCTCTCGGAAAATGACCTGTGGCCGCTCACTGCGGCTCGGGTCAGGTCACCTGCTGGGTCACGTGATCAACTGACACGCTGGGGTGCCCGGGGGCGGGGTCGCGACCCTGCCTAACCGGTTTGGCGGGAGCATGTGCGGGATACGGGCATATGGACAGTGTGCAATCAATTTCCGGACACCCTGTACATAGGAGTCCTGCCAGGTTTTCATAGTAGGGGTCAACTGTCTGACAGCTTGGTAACATGTTACCAAGGCACAAAAACTACTTTGTAAATGTTCAAATGGTTGCTAAATTCGAATTCAGCTCCAAAACGTAGCCAAGAAACATGAAAAACTTGATTAAGTGATTGTGAACTGAGGTCATCAAAGGTCAATACCTAACCTGACCTGACCGTCAGGTGACCTTGACACCCACCCTAATATGCATGGGACCAACATCATGTCATATGTTTGAACGCTTGAAACCATGAAAAGACTGCAAACCGAGCCGACATACGCCGAATCGCGATTCCGGCCAAACATGGTCTCGAGAATCAAAGGTAATTTGGGTCAGGGTCATGAAATTTTCAGGGTGGGTGTAAGATTGACTAACTCGAGGGTACTGCAAGTTTCGTCGCGATCGGCTGCTGTTTACGCGAGTTATTCGCGAATAACCGAGGGGTGGTCCGTTCGACCCTCCCCCCCCCCCCCCCCCCCTATACGGGCGAGGGTTAGTGTACTATGTCTGCTTGTATTTTCTTGCATAGTCTCACAATATTTGATAGTGTAGCTACATGCCTATTTAGTGTCTGTCAATAATATCAAGTGGATATTACAACTAAGTTTCACCGTGAATTCCTTAACCAATAACATCAGATCCCAGCTGTGCATCAACTCAGCCATCGTGTACATGCATCGGTTCTACATGTTCCACTCGTTCTCCAAGTTCCACCGGAACCTGATGGCACCATGCTGCCTCTTCCTGGCCTGCAAAGTGGAGGAACAGCCCAGGAAGCTGGAGCACCTTCTCAAGGTCGGCTGGAACTGCATGAACAAGGAGCCCCTGGACGTCAAGTCGGACGTGAGTTGCCGTTTGGTTTGCAGCTGGGCTGCTTAGATAGACAGGTGTGACTGTGTAATTCTGGTTCCATGCTGCCTTCAAGTGCACTTAATGGGATGTTTTTGTTTATTGTTGAGGTGCTTACTGGACAAATTGTCAGTTGGGTACTGCATTGGTACTTTCTTGTGTATCGTTGTCAAGGGGCTTTTAGAGTTAACAGTTATGTTGCTTTCATTTGCCATCATAAGTTGATGTATTAAATCATTGTATTCGAAAATCACATCCATTCCTATCTTAATTTTTTATTTGCTGTATTATTTCTGGATGTTTGTATTCTTTGTTCTGCAGCTAATGATGTCTGTAGCTCTTCATTTACAGCAGATGTGCCAAGCTTGACTTTTTGTGTGCATTTTCAGAAATTCAAGCAGCTGTATGACGAGCTGGTGAGGAACGAGAACATCCTCCTCGCAACTCTTGGGTTTGACTGCTCTATTGATCACCCTCACACTCATGTTGTAAAATGCTGTCAACTCATTAAAGGTGAGAATGTCATTCACAATGCTGGTTCAGCTACAGGCTGGCGATAATGTGATTTGTGTGTGTTCTTTGTTTGTGCATCTTAGTAACCACACTGTATCTTGATGCAATTTTGTTTTGTTTTGTCTATTTATGTCAGTAACTGTGTGCTTAGAGGGATAATCTTGCAAATATTTTATTTGAAATGTTTCCCATGTGATTGCATTTTATTATGTTAATGATAACAAATGTAAGACAACAGCTAAGTCTACATTTTCTTCAGCTGTTTGGAGCTAGTTTTTGAACTGTTTCTGGCTCTCATAGTATATTACATAGTAGATTATTCTAAGCTCAGTAAGTACAGCTAGGGTGGGGTTTTCCGTCAATGGGGCCAGTTTGTTAGCCTGTCGCTGGAAGTGCCCGTGCGGAGGGAATGGTAACCCAGTCGGCAGCAATGCTAACTGGAGGCTCTCCATTTTCCATGGGTCGGCCGGCCGGCTGACCCGCTCCGCACCGCGCGCTGCTGGCTGGTGTCTCTTGTCCGTGTGGCAAACGCACCCACAGCTAGCAGGGACTTGGCGCAAACGTCCTACTTCATGGCCACAAACAGGTGATTGCCCTGGGAAGGACGGGGGGCCAGCCTGGCCACCGGCCGAGACTGGCGCGTCCCGGCCACACGTTCCCCGGCTCGCGTCGTAGGTCTGGTCAGCCTTCGGCCTCACCATGTATGGTCAAACCACCCTTTTGTATTATGTAATAGGGACTTAATGCTTTCGGTTTTGTTCACCACATCAGTTATTTGATTAAGAAATGTAGCCCGAAGTGAATTTCATCCCATGATATCTTTGCATTTTACCTATTTTTTATTTAGTTATGTGCGCATGCAGTAGTTATCTTCGATTCTATTTTTTAAAGTTTTTATGCGTGAATAGACGTTAGCAATGTAAGCAGTAAAGCTTCAGCTCTAAGGCGACTCTGAGTCAATTCGTCGCTTCTCTTGTGCCACGCTTCCCCTCTTTACGCCATACTGTTAGGCCGAAGGCTGACCACTCCTGTGACGCCGCCGGGTAATGTGTGGCGTGGCTGATACATGCGCCGTCTCCGGCCGCTGGCCAGGCGGCGACTGCTGAGTAGAGGTAGCGCCGGCTCTGGCCGCTGACTGATCGGTGGCGGGTCTCTCTTCTCACTGTCCCACTCCGCAGACGTGTCTCACCGTACCTGAGTGCGGCCCGGCGGCCGGCGCCCCCAGGCCGAGCCGTGGCCGCGGGGCGCCGCCGCCCCGCCCAACAGCACCTTTTCAGGCCGACACGCGCCGCGTCGGACACGCCTGAGCCCAGATATTGTCTGCGCGCATGCGTGCTCTTTCTCGGTCTGGCGGGAGCGCGGTTGTGTTGCGCTCGGCCGGACTGGCTGGTGAGGCGGTGTGCCGGTGTTGGTAAGGAGCGCCGCAGTGTGTCTGTGTGGTCTGTCCGCGTGTGTGAGGTGTCCGGACTCGGGTGGCTGACAGTCCGCCTCCCCCTCCCTCTGCGTGCTGACAGCCTGCACCTGACCATGATGTGCCTGGAGTACCGCTCCACCCTGGTGGCCTGTGTCTGTATCTACCTCGTCCACAAGTGGTCGGGCCACGAGGTAAGACACGCTGATGACCGACCGCTACGTGTGCTGGACATGCAATTCTTATAGAATTGTAAATCAGTATGTGATTGGTTGTTCTTACGGTTAGCTGTTATTGCATTTCTTGAAAAGAAACAGCGCACTAATGTGAACGAGGTGTTGCAACGTAAACCCGACTAGACAGGAATGTTTAAAGGTAGTGTGCCACCTTTGAAAGATTTCCCATTTTATTTTTCCTGGGATAAGAAGCTTCTGCTTTTACCTAATATCGCAAAAAAAAATCAAAAATGGGCCTGGAATAGTGCCTTTTTCGCCTAAAAGTTTTTTCGGTTTTTAGATATGTATAACAACTGTAGTGGGCTCACCTGCAAACAGGCGTCGGGCAACAATCGCGATTGCGGCGCACTTGTGACAATAAGCAAAGGTCATTATAGTGTTACGACCATACGACGTACGGGAATGAGTTATCAGCTGTCTAATCGTAGACAACACAATGTCGAGCCTTAAACTGTAAGCCCGTATTGGTATTGTTTCTTTTATTTGGCTGTCGAACATTATTTATGGTTTGAAATATGATTTTATGTAAAATAATTGATATGAAAAAGCCGTCTTATAAGTTATGACCCCATTTCACCACACGCAAGTGGCAGAAATGACAATGATCAGCTGACGCATTTTTCTTGGCCGAAGTCAGAGCGCGCGGCCCGACGCACCACGCGTATTTGGAAATTCCGACCTCGACGAGCATCAGAAGCCACCTAACAGGCGTGTTCGAAACCGCAGGAGATGATGATGAACGGGTTTATCGAAACTTGATTGGATGAGCATATCGATAAAAGCGATTTCAGTGTGTGCATTTATTGTTCATAGTGGTGTGAAATGTGGTTGGGGTACGACCGACAACCCGTCGGGGCGAATTTCGCACTGGGGTACTCAAAATTTGAAGAATTTAAGACGTTTCCATGAGTTTTGAAGGTATGGATAAGTTCTAAAAATCCGGTTCTCCTTATCTGGGCCATTAACTCCATACGGTCCAAGAAAGCTGGCACACTACCTTTAAGATGCTTAATTTTTGTCTCGTTCTTTACCAACATTGTGTCGCTTTCCAGATCCCGAAGTCGTCCAAGGGCAAGGACTGGTTCTGGTACGTCGACCGGGACGTAACTTTGGAACAACTAGAGCGCGTTAGTGAGGAGTTCCTGCTCATCTTCAATCAGTGCCCCTCCAAGTTGAAGAACAAGATCATGAAGTCCAGCCGGGCCATCAGTGATCAGGTAAGATGATATATCTTGTCATTTGTCAAGTCTGAAAGAAGGCCATGATTTCTTTACCTTTTTTGTTATTTCTTAATTTCCGTGAAATGTATTTGCAAGCTTCATTTGAAGGCTGGGGAGACTTGCACTTTTACTAACCAAATTGTTCAGTGTTCACAGCTGTCTATTCAAGTTGCATTGACTATAGTCCGTTTTTTTTAAGTTTGCCCTCGACTGTAAAGGCCTTTTTGAACATAGCACGTGATTAGGCCACGATTTTCTCTAAACTGTAAATAGTTCCGTAAAAACGCACTACGGGTCAAGGCTTGGCTTGATAAAGAAATATTAGTTTCGATACCAAGAGGGATTTGTGTGCACTTGTGTCGGGGATAACGATGGATTTTAAAAGGGGTAGAGGGCTGGTAGCCCAGGCCCGACTGATTATATTGAATGTTCACGCATTTTTCTGTCGAGAGAGGGACGATGCTGACCGACGGGGTGATGTAAGAACAGTCAATGTTTTAAAAAAGACATGCGATGCAACTGGTGTGTCAGAGGGCACTGTCAAAAATATTCGAAGGGAATATCAAAACGGCCAGGTTAAGGCACCAGGAACGGTGCCACGGAGCAGGGCGGAGCGGAAGACCCTGGATTCTCTGCAGGCTGGTGCCCTCCGAAGGATAATTCACAACATGTACCTTCAGGTAAATGCTGCTTGTTTGCTTACTTCTGTGTTTGATCTTGTAATAGCTGATTAATTGTTGGTCGCTGCATGTGCACAGATAGGCTGATAATAATTAGCTGTTTGTTCTTGTCATAAAGCTGTATGTACGTATCGTATTCAATGTTAGCTTTTCATTTCGCGATGTTAATCCTCGCCCGTATATGGAAGGGGGGGAGGGATCGAACGGACCCCCCTCGGTTTTTCACGAATAACTCGCGTAAAAAGCGGCCGATCGCGACGAGACTTTGAATACCCTCGCGTTAATGAATTTTACACCTACCCTGACAATGTCATGACTCTGACCCAAATGACCTTTGACCTGTGTGGCCTCACCTAAAAAGTAAAACACTTGTTCTAGCTGCACCGATTGTCCGATAACTTCTAGACATTCAGTGATTGATAAGGGCGACAGGATGTACAAAATGTTTATCTCGGAATTCGGATACCGGTGACCTAGTCAGGTCAATAATGTGACCTCTCCCATTATAAGTCAATGGAGGGGAGGGGGGGGGGGGGGGGAATTTCAGTTCATTCGCGTGAACACCATCCAAAACAGTAAAAAATGCATCAATAGCTTTTGATTGAGACAAGATACAGGCTCCAAAACAAGTTCAATATGTTTGTCTCGTCGAGACGAATCGAATGATATGCAACATGACCTGTTGCGGGCAGGTCGTGGCCTTGACCTGCGGTCAAATTTCAAAATGACCTTTCGAGGTCAAATTATACATCCTTTGATGCGTTTTGACAAAAAGCCTCCTTCGCGGCGTGACTTAACCCTCGCCGGCCGAGGGGGGGGGGGGGCGGGTGCCGCCCCCCCCCCATAGGGTTTTTTTCGCGATAGCTCCGAACACACTGGCGATAGAGAGCTGAAACTTAGCATACCTGACCTTTGATTCAAGCCGGATCTTTTGACACCAACCGCATTTTTGGGTCAGGTCAGGTCACTGACCTATGGCGTCATAAGTGAACCTATGCACGGTCTTCAGATGTCGCAACTTCGCAACGCTCTCACTGCCAGAGGAGATGTCACAGGGAAATGAAACTGACAGGATCTAGTATAGATCATGAGTCTCACAACTTGTATATCTCGGATTTTTGCTAAAGGTCATATGAGGTCAGGTCATTTTCGTGACCTCACCATTATAAGTCAATGGGGAAAAATGACAACTGCTATTCTGGCGCCGGGAACGATCTCCAATCATCTCAAGCACACATAATCGTGATTTGATGCACTCCTTGAAAGGTTAGGTGCGTCACTTTTGCAATGTTGACCTTGCGTGACGTCATTTATGACGTCATCAAGGTCATATTAGTTTTTCGTCAATAACTCTTGATCAAATTAAGCTAGCGAGTCGGGAAAGCCACAAATGGACTCAGGAAGACCTGCCGAATCGAATGATATGCGACATGACCTCTTTCGACCAACTTTGTGACCTGGGGGTCCTGGCCTGACCTTGACCTGAGGTCAACACCCTAAGTTGACCTGACCCGGACAAAAAGTATATCATTGGACGCGCCTGAGCAAGGCGAACACGATGCTGCCAAAATCGCGGCTCTGCGGCCGTTTTTTGCGAAGTTATTCACCAAAAACTGAACCGTACCTTGGGGCACTTGACCTGACCTCAGAGGTCACCGGTTGACCTAGGACCTTAAAATCGGGTACCAATCTCTGCGTCTCGTAACGGCGCACACGCTCGTTTTTTCTGCGACGCGCTAGCTCCACCAGGGGCGAAACGGCGAGGGGGGTCGTACCCCCCACCCTCGGCCGGCGCGTATGTAGAAAACCAATAGGTCCGGCGAGGGTTAACCCTCTTTATCTCTTCCCACAGGGTACAGAGCGGGTAACCCTCGACACCATCAACGCTGAGATGCAACAACATCTGGATATCGACATGAGTCGTTCTTGTTTACGCAAGGTGCTGCTGCAAAACGGCTTCCGTTTTCGTAAAGTTGATAAGCGGCGCCTCTTATCAGAAAGGCGAGAGATTGTTGCCGCCAGGGCTTCCTACCTCCGGTCTATCAGACGCTTGCGCCAGTCCGTACCTGACAGTCGCTTTGTATTCCTTGACGAGACCTGGTTCAGCCAAAACGACGTCCAAGAGCGAGGTTGGCTGGACACAGCTGAGATAACCGGCCGTAAAACATCAATCGGCAAGGGACGAAGACTAGTAATTCTGCACGCGGGATCCAGCCGCGGATTTGTTAGCGGAGCGCTCTTCAGCACACGAAATGATGGACAAGCAGCAGACTACCACTCCAACATGTCGGCAGACAAATTCGAGAAGTGGTTTTCTGAACAGCTTCTACCCAACATTGAACCGGGAAGTGTCATCGTCATGGACAACGCGTCCTACCACTCAAGACAAAAAGAAAGGTAAGCAGCTAACCCTAACCACATTTTCGCAGTTTTCACGGCTGAGATTTCGTGCAAGGCCTGAGGAAAAACAAAACAATTAACTTGATATACGACATATTATTTGATCAACATATTAATGCTATATTCACTATTAGTCCGTGGTTTATAGTTATTTCATTTCTAGTATGACAAAAGACTATGGTTTAAGCGGCGAACTGTCTCGTAACAGTCAGTCGTGTTCATGACCCCGCAATCGTTCTGTTCTTAAGACTTAACATTTTTTGTTCATTTATTTTCCGATTGTGTTCTTCCAGAGCCCCCACAACCACCTGGCGAAAAAAGGACATCCAGGACTGGCTGGATGAGCGAGGCTTGCAGTACGACGACGACCTGCGCAAGCCGGAGCTCGTGCAGCTGGTGAAGAGCCTGCACCTCCCAAAGAAGTATGTGATCGATGAGCTGGCCGCGGAGAAGGGACACCAGATTCTTCGCCTCCCTCCTTATCACTGCGACCTTAATCCCATCGAGCTCATCTGGTCTCAGCTGAAGGGACTGATGCGTCAGAGGAACCAGGGAGGAAGGCTGGAGGCGCTGGAAAAATTGCTGGTCCAGTGCACCGAAGACATCACGCCACAGCTGTGGGAGAGTTGCTGTCGGCACGTCACTGACCTGGAGAACGACTACTGGAGGAAAGACGGCCTTCTAGACGACCTGGACCCAGTAGTCGTGAACATCGGCAGCGACAGCGAGGACAGCGACGACGACGACGACGACGACGACCAGACTGAGTGATCTTGTTCCGATCGCTTTGTTGTTCTGCCTGGTTTGTAGTCGGCTGGTTGGTCGATTTGTTGTGTGTTCGATCAGTAGGCCGCTGTTTTTTCCCGTCGGGCAGTTAGTCATTGGTGGTCAGTCCGCTTACTTTGGACCAGTGAGTCTGTTTGTTCTATGTCGCCGGATATAATGTGTTTATGTCTGTGTTTCGTGACTCGCTGTTTTAGCTGGGCTGTCCTTTATATCCGTCTGGTCTTTTACCTTACCGCCGAATTCACGGTCGAAGCTTGTTCCTGGTCACGCTGAATACGTTTCCATACATGAATACGAAGTGTCTATATCATCTTAATTTGACGAGTTCAGTTGTGACAAAGCGATGATCTGGTTTGATTATATATATATATATATATATTATATATATATATATATATATATATATATATATATATATATATATATATATATTATATATATATATATATATATATGATGCGCGACAAAATAATATCGAACATGTCAATGGAGAGATAATGAAGCTCAGAAAACTATTTGCGAGAAGCCACCTAAACGTTTCAGAAGTATCTACGGCACTTCGATATCTTTGACATCTTGACATGTAAATTTATAAGCATGGCCAGCTTACCTCTCATTCTATTCCAAAACGGGAAAATAAAACTTTCCTAATTTTGCACTTATTATTAATATAATTAGAGCCAGGCTAGCGATACTTTTATCTATCTATTACAGACATATTTGGCTGAAGTTGTAACCCTTGATTGAGTTGTGCTAGAATTATACAAAAGCGTACCTACGCTTAATACCTACACAATTTCGCTGATGGTTAAAACCAAGGCAGTATATATAGTTCAAACTTTTGAACAGCTTTTTCATGTGTTTATTGCAGTGTGCGCCGAAAAGAAAAGATCAGCTTTCCAAGTAATTCCCTCTGCAAATCGCATGCTGTTTTTAAAAATGCTCTTACAGTCGAGGGCAAACTTAAAAAAAACGGACTATAGTTTGATGTCCACTTGTCCCGTCTTCTCCATTTCTGAGCCGGGAGGGGTTAGGTAGCGCGCACCGATCGTCACACCTCTGTGCCCGTTTGTGTGTCTCCAGGAGGCGGAGCAGATGAAGCGGCAGCGGAACGAGGCGTCCCGTCCGCGCCAGCCGGCGCCGCCGTCCGCGGCGAGCTCCGGCAGCGCGCCGGCGGCGGCTGGAGCGGGACCGTCGGCGCCGCTGCTGGCGGGGCCGCCGCCGCCGCCGTCCGGGGCCTCGGCATCCGCCGCCGCTCCACCGGCCGCCGCCGCCAGACCCACCGGTCAGTGCCCGACAGTCACAGTATCAGCTATCCGTCTCAGCAGTTCTGCCTATATCTGTCTAGATCGTCTCGCTCTTCTCTCTTCAATTATACTTGCTTCTCCCATCCCTTCTTCTCTGTTAATCACCTCAATTCTTCAGCCGCTTTCACCCACCCCTCTTGATGGTTTATCCTCTAACCTTTTCTCCTCTCCTCTTCGATCCTCTTCATGTTCTTTCACCTGACTCTTTTCGCCTCTTATCTCTTCTCTTTTTTTTTTACAGTGAGCTTTTATTTATTTACTTTTTGTGATGTTTTGTAATTTTTTTGTGTAGGTCTTTTACCGACCACTGAAAAAAACTTGCCTTTGACCCGGTGCACCCCGAAAATAATCAGCTGCCAAAAAACTTACCCATCACTCAGTGTACCCTGAAAAATGTAGCTACGAAAAAAGTAACCTATCGCCTAGTGTACCCTGAAAAAGATAAGTTACCAGGCTATGCGGCTTGTGCTGCGCATGTGCACTCGCAGGTTTGTGTTGCTCCAGCTGTGTAACTGTCTCGTTCCCGCCCAGGTGCTCCGGAGCACGGCGGATCGTCGCGGACGGCGCACCAGCCGCCGCTGCCTCCGTCGCACTCGTCGAGTGGCTCTTCCTCTGGACAGCGGCCCGACTCGCACAAGCTGGCAGCGCGCGCCTACCGCGACAAGAAGGAGCGCGAGCACTTCAAGGTCGACAAGAAGCGTGACAGCGAGCGCGACCGGAGACCAGCGCCCCGGCCGCCGCTGAAGCAGGAGCCGGGTGCCTCTGGCGACTCGCACAAGCCGCGCCAGGACGCACTGCACAAACCGAGCAGTGTCAGTGACGTGCGCGACTTGCTGAAGGACGTGGACGCTCGGCACAGTCTGCTGAATAGCATGGAGCACCCGGCGCAGCGCGGCGCCGAGCCGCCGCGGCAGTCGCACTCTCGGCCGCACCCCGGCCACGCGCGGCCGCACCCGTCCGCGCCGCCGTCGGCCGCCGCCACCGCCGACAAGCCGCCGCACTCGCGGAGTGGCCAGGAGCTGTCGGGCAGTCACGGGGCGCGTCACCCGTCGTCGCAGCGGCACAGGACTGACGGTGACTCGGCCCACAAGTCGGGCCATCACCGGCGGTCGGCGCCGTCCGCGGCCGCCGGCTCCGGCGCGCCGCCGCCCTCCTCCAGCAAGGCGCCCAAAGTGGAGCGGCCGCCGCCACCGCCGCCGCCTCCCGTCTCGTCCTCGGTGCCCACCAAGCAGGAGAAGCGGTCGCCGCTGCGGCTTGACCAGCCGAACGGCGTGTCTCTGCCGACGGCGCCTCCGCCGCCGCCGGTCCGGGACCCGCTCTCGGCCAGCCTGGCTCTGGCGCAGATCAAGGACGAGTTCATGCCGACGCCGATCATTAGTCCGCTGCGATCGCCGCTGTTCAGCACTACCTCACCGGACCTTGCCGACGCGCTGCCGCCGTCAGAGCCCGAGCCGTCGCTTGCCAGCATTGTGCCAAAGATGGAGAAGAAGTTGTCTCCGCTGTTCTTCACCGAATCGTCTCCTCCCGCCCCACCGCCGCCGCCTCCGCCGGCTCCGGCGCCGCCGCCTATAAAGGTAGAGCACAAGACTCCGCCGCCCGTGGTGCCGCCCCCGCCACCGGCCGCGGCGCCGGCGCCTCCGCGCGCCCCACCTGCCGAGTCCAAGTCGCGACCGAAGCCGCTCTCGCCTCTGAAGCTGCCCACGAACGGCAGTGGTGGCGGCTCCATCTTCAGTCCGCCGGCGACGCGGCCCTCGCGCGGTCCGCCCACCGATCCGGAGCTGGTGCTGCCCAAAGTGGACGACATCCCCATGTTTAGCCCTCTGAAGGGCGGCACTACGGGGAGCATCCGTCTGCCGCGCGGCGGCGGCCCGCTGCCCGGCGAGCCGCGCTCCAACTCCATCAGCAGCCACGACAGTGACTTTGAGCTGGTCGCTCCCGCTCCGTCGCTGCCGCCTCCCCCGCCGCCGCCGCCGGCCCCGGTGGCGCCCGTGTCTGCGGCTCAGGCGGCCGTGCCGTTCAAGACGGCTCCGTCGGAGGACGTGGCGCTGGCGAAGGTGCCGTCGGCGCCGCCCTCTCTGATGAATGCTCCGATCTCGACGAGTTCTCTGCTGGGAGAGGCGGGCCGCGAGGACCGCCACAAGCACAAGGAGAAAAAGAAGAAAAAGAAGGAGCACAAAGAGCATAAGGAGCATAAGCACAAGAAGGAGAAGAAACACAAGGAGCATAAGGAGAAGAAGAAGGACAAGCACCGTGATCGTGAGGAGCCCAAGCTGAAGATAACCATTTCCAAAGACAAGCTGGAGGGCACGGAGTCGGCGGCGGCGGCGGACACGTTCATTCCCAAGTTGACCATCCGGCGTGAGAGCAGTCCGCTCTCCAGCCCGGGCAACTCGCTCAAGATCCGCATCGGCAAGGGCCAGGTGACGCCGGCCGAGGCGCCCAAGGCGAAACGTCGCCGCGAGAGCTCCGAGTCGGACCCGGGCAGTCTGGTGGCCTCGCTGCACACCTCGGCGCCCAAGCACAAGCACAAGCACAAACGGCACCGTCAGGTGAGTCCCGCCGCCGGCTGAGCGCCGCGGCCGGCCGAATCGCGACTCATTGCGCGGGGAACACACTAGGGATCATTAATATTTTTATAGGGGTGTTTTGGGGGACATGGTAATCATGGGCTGGCAGCCAGACCGTTCCAGTTACTTATTGCTTCAGATTTAGCTCACTTGCGGTGGTCAGTTGTGTCTGTGGCTGTGTCTGTCTGTCTGTCGGCCGAGTGTGGGTCTGATTGGCTGCGGCTGACCGGGCCCCCTCCACCGGCAGGACTCGGACCGCTCGGACGCTCTCCATTTCTAGCCGATCGGCCGACCGCCGCCGCCGGCTCGCCCCGCGGCCCCGGCCCCGGCCCCTGCGCGGCGGTGGCGCTCCGCCCGCCGCGCGCCAGCCGCCTACCCCGGGCTCTAGCTAATGTGTATTGTGTTCATGGACTCTGTGATGTATGGCGTGGTGCGGACGCGCGCTTCCCGGCCCGCCCGGCGCTCTCCAGCGCCAGGGGCGGCGCCGGAAACTTGAGTGCTGTGATGATAAAAAACGTGTAAGTCTTTCCGAGGTGGGCGCGCACGTCCTGGAGCGCTGGACCCGGCATCGGCACTGTCTCCAGCCCTCCCGTCCGCGCTACCCCGCCCGGCGCCGCCCTCGCTGCGCGCCGTCACTCACTACGCGCTCCCATCGCGCGTTGTTGCTCAGCCGGCCGGAGCTGGCCGGTCCGCCGCCGCGGCGCCCCGAGCGCGGCCCGCGGCTGTTGGTATTCGTGGTGCAATGTGGCCAGAGAGGCTGCCTAATCTGCGCCCGCCGGCCCAAGGTCCTGTTTTGTACCTACGTATATTTTGTATGTATCCGTAACATGCATGTTAATGTATGTCTAGGTATGTTGTGTGCGGGGATTCGTCCCTATGATAAATGCCTGGCTACCGCCACATTTATGCAATATATCGTAAAGTGTGATGCTGCCTCTCGGCCACGGCCATCAGTCGCACACCAGATACGCAGTATCCGCGCTGCAAGAATATCGCAGAACTGCCACTTAAGTGAACTCTTAACTTAAAGTATTTAACTTGACTAAGTTAAAGTGGGCCCACTTAAAGCGGGGGCGCGCCCCGTTCGGTTTCCAAATATGAGAACACGAACTGACTAAATAGGAGCCACACACGTCTACAGACGTCACATGCTAGAACCGAACCCATGAGACATTCATCACCAGTGACCCAGACAGTTTGACCTACGCGACACAAAGTCCTTTCCTTCGTGACGTGGCTATCGAGGCAGAACGCCGTTATCGCGCCGCTACGCTAGTGTCAGTTCGTAATCAGTGCAGGCTCTGGATGTTTCATCAGTCAGTCTGAGAGTGGCTCTGACCATGATGCACTGCGTGGCCCTCCGTAGCCGTGTTACTATCGGAGATAACGACGCTGTGGTTATCGTGTAGCGGATTGTCGTCAATCAGTACTAGACGATCACTTTTCTTCAGTGTATCGAAGAACGACCAAAAAACACGCACTAACACAATGACAAGTGTACTGGCGTATCTCAAATGATTGCCCAAGGAAGCTCCAACAAACATCACAAACACAACATGGCCCAGTTTGTTAACAGATCTCGGCGCGCACCCCCATCAATACGGCAATTCTATTCCTGCACACTCCCCCCCCCCCCCCCGAGGTCAGGTCGGGCGGTCACACTCCCGGGTCGGTACGGCTCAGAGCGTCCCTCTGTTTCTGCTCCCTGCGTCGGCGCCGGTGGCGGGACCGGTGGACCGCCGGCAGCTCCCCGTCACCCTCGCTCGTCGCCAGGCCGGCAGGTGCGCTCAGCACTGTCTCCGAGAGCCGTCCACCGGCCGGGCCGCCGCGCGCCACCTCGATCACAGAGTCCAGACGGTCCAGGATGGCCTGGAAGCGGCGGTTCTCGTGCTCGTCCTCGGGAGGCTCGTCACGGGCCGGTGGTGGGGTCAGCGGCGGCGCTGTGAAGTCGTCAGTGGGTGCCGGCTGGATGGCTCGCGGCAGCAGCGACAGGCCCAGCTGCTCCCCATCGGCCTGCCGTTCGTGCTGTATCAGCTGGACGGTGACGCGCGGGTCGCGGTGCGACGCCACGGCCGTCATGTGCTCCCACGGGTGAAAGTGGACCCCTACCACGGGTCGCGTCCCGCCCAGCGCCGTGTAGGTGGCGCACCGCTCACCCGAATCGAGCGCCCAGACGTGCAGGCACCCGTCCTCCGCCCCGCACAGGTAGTAGGTGCCGCACGGGGTCACCGCTCCGCGCACCAGCGTCCGGCTGTGCAGGTGTCCCCCGAGCGTGCGCAGCGTTACCAGATGGTCCGTGTCGAGCACGGCGATCACACCGCGGCGCGCCTGCACCAGCAGCCGCCGGCCGGCCGGGTGCAGCTCCAGGTGATCGATTGGCGCGCCTCCGACCTCCTCCGGGGCCAGTCGACGCTCCAGGGTCACCTGAGGTCGGCCGCCGACCTCGCGCCACGACCAGACGCTCAGCCGACCGCGAGCGTCACCGGCGTACAGACGACGACCGTCCGCCGAGCAGCAGAGGCTGTTGACGGGCGTCTCTCCGGCGACCAGCTCGTCCGCGAGCCGCGGCTCGGCGCCGGGCGCGTCCCGCACTCCGCTCTCCCAGAGTCGCACCACGCCGTCGAAGCAGCCGGTGACCAGGAACTGAGGGGCAGTCAGGTGGAACAGCGCCGAGTACACGTAGCCCGGGTGTGGCAACACGAGCGCCGTGTACCGGCCGGCCTCGTTCAGGTGCCACAGACGGGCGGTCCAGTCGGCCGAAGCGGTCACCAGTCGGTCGTCAGCCCAGCGCAGGTCGTACACCAGACCAGCGTGGCCGAGCAGCGCGTGCGAGCGCTGGCCGCTCGCCACCTGGTACACCAGCACGGGGAACTGGGCGGCCCGCTGGACGGCGCACGCCAGCCGCTGCCCGCTGCCGTCGAACCGCAGCGTCTGACAGGACTCGCAGTCGTCAGCGAGCGTGGCGCGCCGCGTGTTGGGCAGCCGGCACTGCTGGCCGCTGAGCCGACTCCAGGTGGGCAGCAGCGGCGAGCTGGGCCGCCGGGCTCCCGGCTCCGGGCTGGCTGCCGCTCCGGCCGCCTCCTCCGGCTGGGTGGGGTACAGTGAGCGCCGACCGGGCTCCAGAGCCGGCGGCAGCAGCGCGCTGACGGTGACGTGCAGCGTGGCGGCCAGCCGGTGCCGCCGGCCGCCGGAGCGCCACCAGTTCAGCGCGGGTGTGGTGCGCGCCGCCCGGTCGCCCGGCGGCCGGTACAGCTGCAGCCGCAGCCGGCGCTCCGTGTTGAGCCGACCGCCGGGCGCGGCGCTGCGCAGCCGCAGGAACGCCCAGGCGGTGGTGCTCAGCTCCGGCCGCGCCGTGGTCAGCTCGAACAGGAGGCAGACGCGCGGCTCGTCGGCCGTCAGCCGGCTGACCGGCTCGTTGAACAGCAGCAGGTCGTCCCAGGTGATGAGGCCGCCGCCGATTGCCGTGCCCGGCTGCGTCAGAGCCGGCAGGATGGTCTCCACGCCGTCGGGCTCGTAGAAGTAGGTGACGTGCCGATGCGGGTCACACTTGCGCACTGGCTGTCCAGTGGCGTCGTCCACCAGCTGCACGCGCACCATGGGCCGGCTGAGGTGCCAGCTGGCGCCGTCCAGCCGGTCGGCCTGGTGCACCAGCACGCCCAGCACCTGGTCAGCCGCAGCGGCCGGCTCTCCGCCGCCCTCCTCAGCGGTGTGCGGAACGCCGTGCGTCTCAGCCAGCTCAGCCGCCTGCTGGTCGCTCGGTACATGGGCCTTCTTCCTGCCACGGCGGCCCGGGCGACGCGGGGGTCTGCTGGGCGGCTCGCCAGGGTTCGCCGGCCCATCGCCCTGACCGGCGGCAGTTTCATCGACCACCCTCAAACTGGCGCCGGGATCAGCGGAGACACTTTTACCTGGCCTCTCTTCCATTTCATGTTCTTCAACGAGAACATCCGGCCTCTTACGACGTTCGCGATCCTTTCGACGACCTTTTGATGCGTGTCGATCGGTCTTCTTGACCCTCTTCCCACTCTCGACATTGCCATCATCCACATCGGCTTCCTTGACCTCGACCTCCTTGCTCTGTTCCATTTCGGTCATTTCATACGAAGGATTCTGCCAGCCTTGCAGTTCATTATTTCCCTGGCTGTTTCTGCCGGTCGTCTTGTGCTTTTTGTCGCCGAGCACCGCCGACAGAGAGCGCCGCGTCCGTTCGACCAGGCCCTCGGGCATCTGACTGCCGCCCTCTGCCGCCGTCAGGGGCTGCTTGTCGCCAGCCGAGACCATATTTACTCTCAGCTGCTTGCTGTTCTCAACACAATCACAACCATAAGGCACGCGGCACAAACATCAAAGGCGATGGTCCACTGCGATACTCCTCGAAAAGGGAGAAACACTGTAAGCTCTGAACTCTGAAGTTTAGGGAACACTGTTAGCTCGGCGGACTGATCTCTCGAACATAGCCTGCTCACCCAAACACGGTATCCCACCCACTCACACCGTCTACATCAAACACGAGCGTAGTCTGTTGCTCGGCGTTCCTGGAGCCGTGCTATCGGTGGTTTGTTGTGTGGAGAGGCCGTTGCCTAGCAGCGGAAATCGATCGCCCGGCCGCACCTGCCTCCCAGTCCACCGCACTGGGTCCGTCCTATGTGGCCACCAGGCACCAGACGGCGCGGCCGGCGGCCTGTACCACTCACAGGGGACGCTGGTAGCTCGAACCACATCCACTCGAATCCTGCTAGCATCTGCTCCGGCTTCGCTAGTGCTCAACGCACCAGAGACATGCATTGGGAACTTTAGCTAAGCCTGAGCCGGTAAAATGCGCATTATATAAGAATAGGTTAATCGATTTAAGGGGCTAGTATTTCATTTGGCCTGCCTATAGTACCTAGATCACACCCGTCGGATGTAAGTGGGGATGCAAATGTAAGAAAATGGTGCGGCATATAGGTAGTCGGCGCAGGGCTAAATCCGTTTTTACCAGTAGTTCAGGTATCGACTATCGAGGAAAAGGGTTTCCCGGCTTTTTACATGTATGTTGAAGCTCATATTTGTGGTCATATTTATGGTGCACCAAGTATCTGCTCCTGTTATCGAATGAACATTTATTTTGCACCGCATTTAAAACAAACCTCAAAGAAAAATGCAGCAATATTAAACACATGATATGAAATATAACCCAACATAAACGGCGAATAATAATAACATGAACACTGAACAGTAATAAATAGGAACACGATCAGTTCTGAGCAGCATGTTGACGGCAAAACATTCGACTCTTACCGAAAGAAAATGCACGACGGCGGACGGAGAAGCATATTTAGCACCGAGCTCCGTCCAACAGTATTAGATCCTGAGCTGCAGGTCTCTGGCCACCTAACCGGCAGCCGGCACCAAAGTCTGCAGCATTTCCCACGACACACGTGTGCCCTCCAAAGGACCTTGTCAGGCACTCAATGAGACAAACGGGAAATCGAGCGGTAGGTGTGTCGGTACGGCATTCATCAAAGGCCACCATATCAAAATTTAAAGTTAAAACATCAGTGAAAAAAATAAGTTTGGATGAGGCCCTCGATTGCAATGAAGGTAAAATTATATGAAAAGCAAACATTCGTATAAAAGGACTATAAAACAAGCAATGACGCGAGCGAATGTATTCAGTCTTCGATCCTGCCGATCATTGAATCTCCATAGTGAAGGCAGGAAAAAGACGCGGTTCACTTTAGATAAACGAATCGATTACATAATAGGCAATAGGCATGCCGCAATGATGGGCGACACATGGACACACATAAAATATCAAAAATACACACAAACATAACTCGCCGCCAGCACCCTCCGCCGTTCCTCCCACTCTGACCTATAGTTCCCCATGTCACCCAGCCTTTGACCTAGCTCAGTACTCCTGAGACAGACGGGAAGCCGGTGACTGCGGGGGCGGCAGCAGCGGACGGCCCAGCTGCCGCAGCAGCACCCGCTGCACGTGCGCAGGGGACAGCTGTTCGCAGAGCGCCAGCCCCTGGTAGCGCGACTGGCTGCTGAACTTGTTGCGGGCTCCCTGTCGTACATGCGAACATATCACACACGCACGCAACCGAGTAATTTACGGCAGCACAACGCTCCTACGATTTTTGATACATAATCAAAATGTTATGCAGGCGTTATAAAGATAAACCTAAGTTATTTATTGTGCATACCTGCTGTAAAGACTTACTTCAACAGGTCAATTGAATGTTTATGCTGAAAATATTAAATATGTAACAATAGGTATCTAAGTTGAACAGCAGAAAACTAAACGGCAGTTTTAAAACTTAATTGAGCCTTGTTTAGGGTTAAAGGATGCATTTGTCAGTTTGTGAATCCTTTACCTATTTAGTGTTGTCCATATATCAAAAGATTAACGCGCATATGCTATAGCCATTTAAATAGCGTTTAACTTCTATCACTCTAGCTATCTCCAATAGCTCATAGCTCAAGTAACTAGACCCAGGGATTTCCCGAGCAACATGGACGTTCCGATCGATACATGGTGTAGTAATGTCAATAGACAGCGGAACGGGGGGGGCACCGGGGCACCGTGCCCCTTTGATTTTGGCATTTTAACATTAGCCCTATGGGCTTTGCACGGAAAAATGGGACCAAAAGTCGGCAGTGCCCCCCCCCCTTAATTGAAGGTGTTCCTCCGCCACTGGCAATGTCAGTTTCAGTTCATTTAGTTAGTTACCGCTAATTACCTTTAGTTTTGAGGTATGAGAGTCACGCAGCTCCAACAGAAGTAATGTCGATATCGACAACACGTCTTCTTCCCTGGAAGTGGAAGATAAAGGCATGAACAAGCGCATCGCTGGAGAAAGTACGGCGATCCATAATTTTCACTACTGGGGCGTGGCTCGATGATAACCATTGTTTAGTGTGGGTTGTTAAAAATGTGTTCAAATAGAACAGATTTATTTAACCCGGCGGCCGCTGGGCCTCCGCGCCACCCGCCGGCCGCTGGGGGGGGGGCATAAAGTTGCCCCCCCTTTACTTCTGCGACGATATCGTCGCAACGCGAGGAGATAGAGAAGCGAAACTTTGCACACATCTTCCTGAATACCTAGCCGAGGTTGTGTCCAAATTTGGTGTCGATCCCATTTGAAATGACGTCACAGTGACGTCATAAGTGAAATTATAGATTTGCGACTCTCATATTCCTCACGATACATCACATATATGGGACCGAACATAAAAAGCCGATTATTGGTCAGAAACTAGATGGAAGTGTAGTAAGATGTTTTAGGATGACAGCAGGTGCTGTCTAGTTCACTTACAGTCGAGTTTCATGCTCAGCGTCATCAGAAACGGTCCATATCGGAAAACGACAAAACTTTATGACGTCACTGTGACGTCATCTTAGGTGCTACAACCACCAAACTTTCCTCAAACATTGCCTAGGTATTCATTTGAAGCTATGCCAAGTTTCACGTTCGTAGCTCATCAGGTTTCGGAGATATTTCACAAAACGTAAAGGGGGGGGGCAACTTTATGCCCCCCCCCAGCGGCTCGTGGGTTAATCGAAATTTGCCTGCAATTATTGAAAGACGCTTCATAGACACCTGAACTGTATTTTAGCATCCACAATTCGTTAAATGGTCGGCAAAATAAACAAACCAAATAGAATACAATTCTCAGCTGCTAAACCATGGACAAAAAGTGTTGCAGTTCAGCTTAATGTACAGAGTACACCAATCCGTCTATAATGCAAGAGTAGATGTTTATTATACTAAACGTCTTTCCCCACACCAACTTTTTTACGCATTTTCCAAAACGCTGTTCTCATCTCATCGAATTTCACAGCCAATTCCACTTTGAACGAAAAGTTCTCCGTATGCTGCCTGACAATCTGTTCGGTATTCAGTGGACTTCCCCTTCGCGATTATTATTCTGTCAGTTTTTTCCTAGTCTCTCAAACAATATCCGATTTCAGGTATTTGAACGTTGAGCTGAGCATTGTTAATAAGATTATTAGAAGTAAATCTAATAATAAGTAATCTAATAATAATAATATTATAAGAAAATCTAATAATATCCGATTTTCTCAATTTTCTCAAGCGAACGCCTATCCAATGCGCGCCCGCAGTGCTTAGTTCATACCCCTGCCAATAGATGGCTCTCGTATATGCGCCTGTAAGATGCTGTGCCGCACGACCCCATGCCAACGCACCGCTGCATGCACGCACTCGGTGAGCTCGACCCGTCGAACCTGAGCCGTTGAGGCTTTGAAAATGACCCTTTTACTCAAATATACCGGTGTACCTGTGGTAGAGGAGATCGTCGGGCGAGCAGGGAGGCGTCTCGTCTCCGTGTCTCCCCGTCACGTCTCCGTGCCTCCCTGCCGCGTTTCCGAGCAGCAGCAGAGCTGTGTGGATGACTGCGACGGCGACCAGCGAGGGCGGACGGTGAACCCCGCCCAGACGACAACCGGCCAGATCCAGCAGGTACTCACAGGTGTGAGTGAGCCGTTCACCCTGCGGACAGACCGGTCGTAAGGCCACTGACGGCAAAGCTCAGAGAAGACGGTCTTATTGCGAATGTAGGCAAACTTTCCGTGCAGGTAGCCGTTCAAGGACTTGAGACATCACAGACATCTCGTGCAAAAGCTACGTCATACAAGCAAGCCATAAGATTACTGCTTAGAGAAGCCGAATTGAGAGGCGACAGGTAGGTTTACACGATAGAAAATTACCTTACGGGTACACTTACTTTGCATCACTTATATTTACGAGTACCTATAAGCAATGGTAAGGACATTGTGTACCTACTACCTTCAAGCAATGTGCCATGTTTACATTTTAGCAAGAAGGTCCTTGTAGTTGCAAGGTAAGTTAATCATTCGCCGCTTCTCGCCAGAGAGAGAACATTGCTCCTTTGACCCTGCAGGCTTGGAAGTCTAGGAAAACGTTGCTTTGATGAAGTTGAATTGAAACAAAATAACCAAAGTAATTAGGGCCGCCAGAAATGGTCGGTGCGCCGCCATTTTGTCAGGCATATTTTGCGCTGATAACACGTTATCTGGCTCCCACAACCTGTCTGACCTCCAAACACGGTGGACACGAGAATCCGGGCTTAGTGCAGACCCATTGCTAGCCGCCATTAGCTCAAGGAAAACAAAGGCTTTCTGGAGGCACATCAAACACACAGATAAGCCAAGGAACAGCTCTTCGTTTCAACAAAACAGGGTGTATAAGACCTAGAAAGTGGAAACGCCTGATGATGTGCAAAGGCAGGACTTAATTTCAGCAGGAGAAGCATGCATGTAAATATTTGAACTATCCGAGACAAAGGAGAAGTTATCTAGTAAAGTTTGCGCAAGGATAAAAAGTTAAAGAAAGTAACTAACTTTTAATCCAGGAAAACAAAAAACAATGAAGTTGTCAACAAACACTAGCGAAGGAAAACCAAACTTAGGCATCACGATAAGCTGAAATGCCTTAAAAACCATACGGCATAGCGACAGACGAAGTGGCTCACTAAATTATATATTATACCATCCGGCCAGATGCATATGTCGTACATTAATTGCACTTTCTGATTAGGACCCGGTGAATCTAGGCTCCAGAATGTGGGATGCCGGAGTCTCTCGAGGTCTGGAAGTCGGATGTCAAAGCTCACCCGATGTCCAAAAGTCAGGAATGTGGGGGAGGCGGGAGGGCCTGAGTTCTGCTGACGTATGGTGGTCAGAGAGGCAATCGGTTGCGATCAATCACCTGCTCTCCGGCGGTTAGACGTCGCCGGTGCAGCTGCAGCGAGACGAAGGCGCCCGGGTGGACGCGCAGCAGCCGGAAGTCAGTCACACGCACCACCAGCAGCTCCATGTTCAGCAGGCTGCCGAGCGCGTACCCGTCCATGGTCAGCTTCAGCAGCTGGCGAGCCTGCGGCAGACGAGGACGGCCGTCAGCCGCCGCGCCGGTCTGTTCTCTGCGGTCTGCGGGGCCGCCTCGGTCGGTCGATGACTCGCTCTCGTGACCGCACAGGAGTGACACTTTATAACAGACCGGCTCTCTCCAAAGATGAGGCGCCTTTGTTGGTTGAAAAATTGCGGTTGTCTGTTAAAAGTGGAGATCACTTCGCAACATGCCGTGAACACAGCTGGTCTATCAGAGATAACATCGTTTTCTTTACGTATATTTCGGCGGAACAAATGCAAACATTATTTCATTTTATCTATCTTCCTCATATCTGGTCTTCCTGGCAGCTACGTTATTAAACCTACTGCAGCACGTTCCTCTAAACCTCATCGAGCGCCTGGCTCCATCCGTGGCCTCCCACCCACACCATAGTGCGTTAGTAATCAGGCCGTTTCTCACCGAGGGCAGGCGGGGATCCTCCATTTTGGCCGCCAGCCAGAGACAGGCGACTCCGAGCAGCTGCAGGTTGTCCAGCGGGCAGCTCAAGTCAGCCAGCACCCGGTCCAGCAGCGCCAGAGCCAGGTGCAGAGTGCCGCCGGTCAGACGCAGGTAGTGCTGCGAAGAGACGTGTCTTCGACGTCACAGCAAGCAATGATAGGAGTGCCACGCCCGCGTCCAATTAGCGGAAACGGTAATGCGCAACGAAACTGGCTGCTGTATATCACTTTTGGAAAACAGAGCAGATACCTTTCTCGATGCACCTCAACCGCGCAGGCTTAGCCGGATGTCAACAAACCAAAATTACTGGAAAACTCAAAGCGCACTTCGTTAGTTTAAAGCCGACAATCAACAGGCGGTAGATAAGGTTTGTGATATTTAACCATTCACAAGGGACAAACTTCTTACAAAGCATCTCGGAAGTTCACTTTAACTTCAAAACTGTCTTCGGTCTCTTGGGATCCAGGACACTAAAAGAGACGCGTGCGTGACTGATCCCTCAGCAGTCGACGAGGAATGAGAAGCTGCCTTTAGAGCCTTAGAATATGGGTCAGGAGGGGCAGTCAGCTGCCCAATCAACATGCATGGCCGCCGCCTAGACCAAGAAGACCGCCGAAATGGTCAATAAAGGAGGCGCCGCGATATCCGTTGCGGTCTATATTTGGTCTGATTGGTGCGCCGGGGAAAACTGACCCCCGTCATCGGCTTTCCGAAAAGCATCAGCGGGGCTATGCCAGCTCTGCGCTCTCAGCCTAACAAGATATGAACGCATCGAGCTACCGATCCCGGCATCGCCCTTTTGGTGCACATCAAGTGGCGAATTCTGAATATAAATTATTTTTGTTAGCAGATAATTCTGAACTTGTTTTATAGTTACTAAATTTTTAACGTTAAGTGCTTTTGCTGCTAGATAATGCACATGCCAACGATCAATCAAAACCTAAAGGTACAATTTGCTGTTCCGACAAAGCATTCAAAGCGTCAAACGCTATCATCAGGAGCTTAACACGCGCAGTGGAAGGGGGGGCGGATTTCGCCCACCCCTCCTGTTTTTCGCCAATAACTCGCGCCGCAAGCATATTATCAATGTGAAATTTCGGCTACCTGTCCAGAATTGAATTGCGGATCTTCTCGTGCAAAAAGTAAGAAAATCGGTTCACAACTTTTCTAGTAATAGCGGTGTAAAGTCAAACATCCTGCCGCCGCGGCGGCGCGGCGGCGCGGCGGCCGGCGTTAGCCGTTACGCGCCGCCTGAATTGTAGACTGTGCCGGCGCGGGACGGTTCCGTCTTTACATCGCGCTCCTTACCGCTGATTATATCAGATTCGCGTCAAATTCGGTGAGAAGACTGAGAAATGTACGGGCAATCATATGGTCAAAGAATTTTGAAAATCGGCCGGTAACAACTTGAGTTATGAGTGTGTAAACACAAAATTGTGATTGCCGCGTTTCCCGCGTCGGCCGATGCCGCTTCAGCCGGCGACATCTTATCCTTAGCAGGCTTCTAACTGCCATATTTATTGTTGGATTATCTAGAAATTCACCATACATACTCACAAATGTTTGTTCTTTCGTATAGTGAAAGATTTTAAAAAATCGGCCGGTAACTTTTTGAGTTATCGGCGTGTAAACGCAAAAAAGTCGCTAATATGGCAGATTTGACCACATTTGACCTCATTTGACCTTGAAGATATTGACCTAGGGTCATGAAATTCACACACAACAAAGTTCGTCATGGCCCCCACCTACCCTCCAAATTTCGTCTTTCTAGCTCCAGTGGGAGCTGAGATCTTAGGGGGGGGCGACATCCGCCCCCCCCCCTTCCACTGGGCGTAGTACTCGCAACCCTTCCACTGCGCGTGTTAACAATATAGGGGAAGCCGGGGGAAGCCCGGGCGCGGGGGAAGCCCGGCCACCCCGTTTCCGGCTAAATTATTCACAATAAAATGCTCAACTGTTTGTCCTATCAGCATGGCAGCTAAGGTAACGCCAGCAAAAAAGTTAAGGCTGACAAAAGTTGCATATTGTTAAAGTTATAGCGCAAAAATGATATTTTAAGGGTTTTTAGCTAAAAAGTGAGATATGTTGCACTGTTAATGTTATACCATACAGTACTAATATTTATACGAATGTTACGTAAGGACCGTTTAAGTGTTTGTAGTAAGGGGTGACGAGGCAGGCTGGCTTAAGTATGACATTTTTTTCGAATATCGCTGTTCTAAAATAAAAATTAGCACATTGGGGTAACCCCGGGCGAGTGGCCAAGCTTACCCCCAACCGAGAGCAATGCCACTAAACCACTGTTTTCCATGAGATAATAGGTACTGAGCAGGTTTGGTTTACACCTAGATCAAAGATAAATTTCGAAAATAAACATGTTATCATAGACAAAGCCAGTCATGTCACTTAAGGTCAACTAGGGTCAAACTACGTTTTTGCAGATAACGCGACAGACAATGAAGCTAGAGCTTCAAAAATGGTGTCGTTGTGTTCTTCTTCATCAGCCGAGTCGAATGATATGCAATATGATGCATTATGGTAAAAAGAAAAATAAATTTTAAGGAATTTTGAAATACACATTTTTTGTCAATTTTGCATCACGATTTTCATCGACCTGTTCTGTATATGTAGTAGACTCTAGCTAAAATACCAGTAGTGACATAAACTCTAAGATGTCCAGAGCTAATCAGTAGCTTAATATTTCACTTTCCGTTAATATTTGGAAAACACATAATGGTTTCATCAACTCGTTGTAAAGCGCTGGGGAGGTGGCCGGCGTTACCCCTATGCCGGGCTTACCCCAGAAAAATCAACACTTTTTTAAAACTCGATTTTCTCAACCTTATACTTATTCCACGAAACCGAATTTTTGGGAAAACACGGCCAATGAACTTAGCTAGCTAGCAGGATATCAACATTTTATACAGCACGTATGGTATGTAATAAAAATGAAAAAGAGCTTACTATGCCGGGCTTCCCCCGGCTTCCCCTAAATGAACTTATCTTTTCGAATATAACATAACTTCAGTAATAACTGAACCACCCACCATTCTGCGTAGTAACCATGCCCCACAATATACCGCCTATTTGTGTGCAATATTGCAACAAGAGAACCTGCCATCCCATCAAGCCTCGCAAGCCGCGCGTGCTTCGCCACAAAAACCGTGCCGGCTCTAGTTCCCATTTGAGCCCGGGGCGTCGGCTGAAGAGCGGGAGGAGGCCAGGTATTAATGTGACGACACAAACCCATTAGACGGACAGTCGAGACCCGCGCCAACAAACCGCCGCCTCCCGGCCCCGGGAGGCGCTCGATACCGACTGCGCCGGTCCCGGGGCGACCCGGCCCAACCACCGAGAGTCGGCCCGGGCCGCGCCGCGGTAACTTCCCACATCGATCGCCCATGGGAGCGATCTGGACCGCAGCCCAGGGGCGGCAATCAAACCGACGACCAAAGTAGCCGAAATTAGTCCCTCGGTAAAATAGGAGCGTGACTTCTTCAGTTGAGTGGGTACAACTTGAAATAGAACCAGCAGTGAAAGACTCGCAAGTAGCGGGAAATTTTAATGAGGGAACTTCTCCCTGTAATTAACAGCTTCTATATTATTCTTTTATACGAATTGGTATCAATATTCCCACAGGGTCTCACGCAGAGTATCAATACTCCTTCTATGCTCTGACGCCCTGTTGACCTGTGCTGGTGACCTCACCTGGACCATAATCAGCCAGTCGACCACCACAGCTCTGTCGGAGGCGGTCACAGAGGGCTGGCCGGCCAGAAAGTCCGTGTCCAGACGCTGCAGCTCCTCCTGCTCCAGCAGCTCCTGCAGGATGTCCTGATGGACACACGTTCAATTATTGGATCGTGGCCTACAGTGGCCTTTCAGTGCAGCGTGTCAAAGCTGTATCATCTATCTATGGCCTATGCAGAGGAATGCATAACACACACGTAGGTAAAAAGTGAGGAGAGTAGCAACTAGCACCAAAGTTATGAGCAATTCGTACACGTTATATCGTTCATAGCGAAGGCCTGGAATAAATCGCAATAAAATGTTGCAATCTACAAATTACCTAACATCAGACTAAAGCATACTTCCTTATAAAAGAGTACGCAATACGCATACCCCCCCCCCCAGACTTCATCTAAGCCAAGCCGGTTGCTAAACCGTTAAAGAGCATTATTTCTTACCTCAACATACTCGTCCTCGGCGGCTTTGGTCGTCTCGGGAACACCGCTCGCTGGTTTCGTCTGGTCAGCCGGGAGGAGCGGCTGGGCGGTCCCTGGCTCGGCTTCATCAGCCAGTGCTGCTTCATCAGCAGACAGTTGTCGCTCCTCAGCAGACAGTTGTCGCTCCTTAGCATCCTTAGCAGGCAGTTGTCGCTCCTCAGCAGCCAGATCAGACTGCTTTTCGCTCGCTGGCTCCGATTTTTTCTCAGCAGCGGCCGCTGCCTCCTCTGTTCATAGTCACACACGAACAGTATAAAAGGTGACTAAATTAGGCATACGTACGGGTGAAATGTGCATTGCACACACTTAGGCGCAGACGACATTTTCCTTTTTAGTCGAAGTGTGTCTAACAGTGTATGCTGTCTAACGTCCTGAAGAGCCCGTCACGATTGACGGGATTTTCTCAGCGACTTTCTGTTACTTTGTTTTTAAATGTCCAGCAAATACATATGCCGTGTTCTGATCTGCAGCTTTTTCAATTGAATACACTGCTGGGTGGCTGGCAATTCTCAACAGCTCAGCTATGCTGGATTGCTCAGTTAATTAACAACCAGCTTTGGGTTTACATGACGACGCCTTGTTTGACATGACCATGCTAGACAACATACGCTGTTGAACACACCTCGTGCTCGGGAAAAATACACGGGAGCTCTCAAAACTTCTCTGCAATATGGGGGACGGGAAACATGTCGGTCCGTTTCTCACAAATACGGACGGCCTGGGCCGATAACCAGGCCGGAAACCAGCTTACGTCCGCACACGTCGGTCCGGAGTAAACAAACTGATGAACCGTCGCCGGACCGTCCGCGCGCCGCCTCCCCTCACCGTTGCCGACTGAGCCCGGGGCTGGGATTGGATTTTGGTAAGGCTGAACATGGTTGCTCGTGTTTCATCACGCTGTTGCGACCAGACTGCTAGTTTCTTTTAAAAATGCATATTAAAATAACTGATCGGCAATGAATGCAAAAGTTCATACACAAGCTGTGGACACTCAGCCCCAGCCATTCGCCGCACGCTCAATTGCTCCTTATATCTCGCTACATACCTGCTCGTTTCCTGTTGACCGCTGCTCGCGTTTCGTACCCATGACAGATCTTGGCCGGCTGACGGGGCTGCGCAGCGGTCGTGGCTCGCGCCCCACCCCCGGCCGGCACCCGTGAGCGGGGTACCACCTCTACACACCCGTCCACCAGCGAGGACCTCTTGACGAGCGGCGGTTTCGGGCGACGCCGAGACTGCTGAATCGGTCTGAGCGGGGACCGGCTCTGCGGCGACAGACATAGTTCCACCGTGAGGAGCCCTTCCATCGTTTGACACAGTGACTGACGACAGAAAACTGAACGACAACAGTCCGAGACTCCTTGAAACTGTGAAACACACATCACACATAAAGTCCACTTAGCTCTCTTACACTAACAAGCCTACTTCTATCGTGCAATGCACGGGATAATTTTCATGATTGCGCTCAATATTTTAATTTGTATTGAAGAAAATAAGCATGAGCTCGAAGCTTAACATAACGTTTAACCCCGCGCATGACTGGGGTGGGGGGGGGGGGGGGAGGGCTCTACAGAGCTCCCCTCCCGTTTTTCGACAATATCTTCTTAACCGTTTGACGGGTCAACACGAAACTTACGGTACCTTCAGCGGTATCAATATGACACCTTGTGTTAAAATTTCAACTTTCTAGCTACCATAGTTTGGCCGGGAATGACGTCAGAGTGACGTCATGTCGGCCGATTTTGATGCAAAATATTGAATTACGGCAAACGCTCTCAAGAGCTCAGTTTTAAAGCTAGATCCAATTTCTTTGCATGAGTGGACTACATATACATGTAGCTATCAAACTGCCATCTCGAATTTTCGCAATTTTGAAAATTCTTTTTTTACAATTACAGAAAATATATTTTTGATTTTTTTCAGAGTTTTTTCATTTTTCGCAAAAAAAAAAACGGAAAATATGTGATAAAACACACACTGGTTAACTACTCAAGCTAGCTTTAGCCCAATATCTTCAAAAATAGCCAAGTTATTTGCATTATTATCAACAGTTTATTTTTATATATTTTTTTTTCAAAACCATTTTCAGTACGTTCTTGACATCGTACAGCAACATAAATGGCACCATCTTGATTCTGAGCTCAAACTGCATCTGATGGCACCTCTTTTGTTGAAAAATGTTATTTTGTTTTCAAACTTTGACCTTTTCTGACCTGAAAGTCACCTGACCTCCGGTAAATTTAAAATGACACAGACGACATTGTTTTTGAAATCAACGAGTAAAATGAGCCATAAAACATGCGGTGACGTGACCGATACATGATATACAATTTTTGTGACCTAGGATGACCCGGCCTTGACCTAAAAAATTCGAAGTAAAAGTTCGGTACCTTCAGGGTATCTAAGGCATATATCAAGGAGTGCGTAAACCAAAAATGAGCCTGATCGGACTGTCAGCCAGCGGTCAGAGCCTAATTTGTGAACAAGCAAAAATGCTGATAATTTTTACTTTGACCTGACCTGTGAGGTCATCGGTGACCTCGAGGTCAATGAAAACAGGTCTCGCTCGACAGTTTTTCTATGGCTATCAGACGCCGTCTGTATTTTGACGATCAGCCCAGTAGTTTCGGAGATAGGAGGGGGGGGGGGGGGCTCTGGAGGGACGCCGGTGAAAACAGGGCCGGAGGGCATATTAGTCACGTGACATTTGGAACTTCTCCCGCTCCATGGGCCTTCCATGTGCCAAACGTCACGTGTAATTTTCACGAACCTTGATCAATTCGCCCCAGGCGCCCTGTTTTCACCGTCGTCCCTCTGGAGAGCCTCCCTCAGTCACTTGCGTTACGGAGAATACCCAAGTCATGCGCGGGTTAACGTTTACGTGTGCGGTTTAACCCTATTCCTCGCGGGCTCCGCCGGGACAAGAAACTGGCGGGGGGGCCGATTCGGCCCCCCCCCTGAGATCTCGAGAACGAAGCAAGATAGCGACAAACGGTAAACGGCATCGGATACGCACGGTCAAGATCTACAATTTTTACAAAGGTCATTTTCAGGTCAGGTCAAAGATGACGTCACAGGGGTCGAAAAAGTCAAAATGGCGGCGCTAGATATGGAGAGAGTTTTTCTCGAATAACTTTCGAATTAGTCAAGATAGGAACAAACTAAGGGCATCATCGTGATCCTCTCGTCAATCCGCATCGAATGATATATATGTTGACCTCGCAAGGTCAAGGTCAAAGGTTGACCTCAGGTCACGTGACCTCGAGGTCATCATGTATATCATTCGATGCGTCTTGACGAGCTGAACACAATGAGACCATCCACGCGTCTGTATCTTGTTCCTGTACGGAGTTATTGGCCAAAAACCTTTGGTGACCTTTGATGACGTCACATGACCTCACAGCTGCCCAACAGCAAAACAGACCTCAAGGTAGTGAAGGTTGATCGTATGTGAAGTCATGTATGGTATATGGGGCCATTCCGACCCGTTTTAGTGGTAAAAACAGGGAGTTGATTTTTCCCCCATTGACTTATAATGGGGAGGTCGCGAAACTGACCTGACCTTAGGTCACCGATATCAAAATTCCGAGATATACAAATTACACATACTGGTACCCTAACTAAAGCCTGAAGAGAAGAAATTGATCGGTCAAAAACTCTAGCTCTGGCGTGATTGCAAACTTTTCTGAGGTAGGTTCACCAAACCGCCTCTGGTGACCTGACCTGAGGTCAAATCAACTCAAAATTGTCAGACATGTTGCGTAGAAGCCTTTTAGGAAAAGTCAGAAAATTTGAGCTTCCTAGCTCAACGCGTTTGGGAGAAATAACCAAAAAACCTCAGGGGGGGGGCTCCTGAGGCCCCCCCCCCGCCAGGAATAGGGTTAACATAACGTTTTGTGATACACAATCAATCCGCAGTCAAATAGCCAATAGGTAACCCATTGTGCATTGTTCTAGCATCAGCTACAAACCCCTCTCCATGACAAGACTCGCGCCTATCTCTGACATGTATCTCTGCTCCGGAATCTCAGTGCCGACTACTATTATGGTACTGACCAGGACAACGCTGAGTCGGCAGTGCTTGCGGTCCGGCTCCATCTCTGGTGCGGAGGCGTTGCTCAAGATACGTTTCCTCGCGGAATGGCCGGACTCTGCCCTCATCACAGTCTTTTGCCTGCGGCCCGGGCGTGGCAGGCGGAACAGACACGGTTAACACTGCTCCAGTTCGTTAACATATATGTGAAAGAGAAACAGTTGGAGGAATGCTAGCGATTTAACTTTAATTAAGATATATTAAAGGAACAGGTAGGTGATCTGAACGGTTGCAGTGAATTTTCACCATGAGCACAGCTGTGAAAAATGAAAACAATGCGAACTCGAAAGTCATGTGCAAACTGTGCATCTGTTTAATATGCCTTTAGCTGCAGTTAATCGCGTTACTCACTTTGGCCGACCCGTCTGCAGACCGCCTACCACCAAACCTACGCGCCGGCCGCGGCTCACTACTGGCCTGCGCAGGCTTCAACTTCAGCTGAGCGCTACCTGAAGTGACGTCATAATGCCTCAGGCTACCGGGTCGGTCAGGTGGAGATGCCGATTTACTTGGTCTGATTAAACGCGGTTACAGCTCGATTAAGTGATAAGACGTGCGGTAAGACGAGTGATTTGTTTTCTTTAGATTACAATGCTGTACGAGGGTGACGTTTTTGTGATCGTTACTGATTATTTAGCGTAAATGTATAAATACTTACTATACGAGCAACATGAGCACCTCTATAAAACGATATGCGAGGGATTCATAACATTTACCTATATCAGAGAGGCAGAGTGAGTGAGTGAGTGAGTGAGTGAGTGAGTGAGTGAGTGAGTGGAAAGAGAGAGAGAGAGAGAAAGATAAAGAGAGAAAGAGAGAAAGAGAGAAAGAGAGAAAGAGAGAAAGAGAGAAAGAGAGAAAGAGAGAAAGAGAGAAAGAGAGAAAGAGAGAAAGAGAGAAAGAGAGAAAGAGAGAAAGAGAGAAAGAGGGACAGAGAGACAGAGAGAGAGAGAGAGAGAGAGAGAGAGAGAAGAGAGAGAGGAGAGAAAGAGAGAGAGAGAGAGAGGGAGGGAGGGAGGGAGAAAGACATGACAGGAATATGGTAAGGAGGAAGGGGAAAACAACGGTAAAACAATGATGGAGACTCGTTCAACTGTTATTATGACTGCAACTGTTTTGCATTCTGAAGGTAAAGAAGCGGTCGCATCTAATGCGATGTTTGCCTCACTCGCAGCCAGCCGACAGAGCGCATCGTTACTGCGGGTCTGTTTGTAATAAAAGACGCGCCCGCTGGAGAGAGAAACTACCTGAGTCAGTTTGACAAAGCTGCATATATGTCGAGTGAGTCTAAAGCCGAGTGGGTTGGGTTGTCATATCGCTATCATCTCTGAGGAGGGCGCCTTGTGAAGACTGCGACCGTGAATGCCACACTGCGTTCGGAGTAAAGATGAAAATGTACTCAGCATGCAGACAAAGCGAAAGAATGGAAGGTCGAGAAGAATTGACTCATGTGCTTCGACAGCGCTTGAAAAGAAAAGAATGCCCCTTGTCATCAGAAGTACGTTTTAAATCCATAGAAGATCCAGGCTAGCCTTGGAAATTCGTATAGTTACTTTACTTGATTATTTCACCTTTCTGGCCATAGACCCAATCTGCTTATGAATTCCACCAGCGTAAAAATGTTAAGTCGATATGCGTAGGACATAGGTAAAAGTGACGCATTTTCGGAAAGATAATTTTTAAAACACGGAAGCTTTCAATTGATACTAATTGAACTCAATTTTGATCAGATATCTTAGTCTAAATACCTACCTAACCGTCCTTTAACCCTCGCTGGCCGAGGGGGGGGGGGGTGCCTCCCCCCATAGGGTTTTTCGCGATAGCTCCGAACACGCTGGCGATGGAGAGCTGAATGTTGGTATACCTAATCTATGATTCAAGCCGTATCTTCTGACATCAATCGAATTTTCAGGTCAGGTCAGGTCACTGACCTTTGACGTCATAAGTGAACCTCTGCACGGTCTTCAGATGTCGCAACTTCGCAACGCCCTCAGTGCCAGAGGAGCTTTCACAGGGAGATGAAACTTACAGAACTTAGTATCCATCAGAGTTCTCACAACTTGTATATCTCGGATTCTTTCTAAAGGTCACTTGGGGGTCAGGTCGGTCACGTGACCTCATCATTATAAGTCAATGAGGAAAAATGAAAAATGCTTATTTGGCGCCGGGAACGATTTCAAACCATCTCAACCACACGGAATCGTGATTTCATGTGCACTCCTGGCAAGTTTCGATGCTTCACTTTTACATTGTTGACCTTGCGTGACGTCATTTAGGACGTCACCAGGGTCATATTAGTTTTTCGTCAATCTTCTGTAAATGGGAAGGTAAGAGCCCGTTGGAGGGAGGCCTGAATAAAAAACTCCCGATCAACTTGAGCTAGCGAGTAGGGACAGCCACCAATGGACTCGGGAAGGCCTGCCAAATCGAATGATGTATGCAACATGACCTCCTTCGACCAAGTTCGTGACCTGGGGCTCTGACCTGACCGTGACCCGAGGTCAATACCTCAAGTTGACGTCCTCATCCAAACAAAAAGTAGGCATTCCATTCGACGCGCCTGAGCAAGTCGAACACGATGCTGTCAAAATCTCGGCTCTGCGGCCATTTTTGCGTAGCTCGTACGTACCTTTGGCCACTTGACCTGACCTCAGAGGTAACCGGTTGACGTGAGACCTTAAAATTTGGTATCAATCGCTGCGTTTTGTAACGGTGCACACGCTCTTTTTTCTCGACGCTCTAGCTCCACTAGGGGCGAAATGGCGAGGCCGGGGGGGGGGGTGTACTCGTCCCCCCTCGGCCGGCGCGTATGTAGAAATCCAATAGGTCCGGCGAGGGTTTTAAGTATTTTTTAACGAATGCCGATTTATTCAAGCCTGTATTTTACTTTCACTTGATAAAACAAATATCTGGCCTCTGTTCTATTTTACCTAGACACCCTGTTCCCACCATGCGCTTTACGAGAAGAAAACTATCGGCTCCCTGCTGACACGGACACTCCTTCCTGCTGCCCCGGGCCGTCTCTGCACCTCGCCGCAGCAGTTTCAGCGCCTGACGCTGCAACCCCGGTCGGCGCCCCGGGGCCGCTGACCACCGTGTTAAGTGCCCCCGGGGTCTCACTGCACACCCAATATTGCCAGCTGTCACGCCGGCAGCGAACAATACAGGGCCAATTGGGAGCCGGTCGAGCGAGCCGGGCCATAACGCTGCGGGTCCGAGCAGGGGTGGAGCTGGTTAGAGTTTGTCAGTCAGAGCTGGTGGTCAGAGTTGGTCAGCCAAAGTTGGTCCGTCAGAGTTGATCGACCAGACCTAATCGGTCAGAGTTTGGTCGGTCAGAGTTGATCGTTTAGTGCTGGTTGGTCAGTTATTCGGTCGGAGCTGGTCGGCCAGATTTGGTCTGTCAGAATTGGTTGGTCCAAGCTAGTCGGTCAGAGTTGGACCGTCTGAGCTCGGATGGTGGTAGGGGAGCAGGGTTCGAGCTAGCCAGAGCTGAGGTGGTTGCCAGGACAGGGTTGTTTAGAACAATACCCGAAAACCACCATTCAAAGCTGGGTCGATGCACGGATTGTTTGGTGATGATCAGAGCTGAGCCGGTAAGATATGGCTGCTGGTGGTCAAACAGAGGTAAGTCGGTCAGAGCTGGGCTAGTCAGACCAGCGTTGGAGCTGCGCAGAACTGGGCTGGTCAGAGCTAGAATTGGCCATGTCTGGTAGGTATTAAGCGATTATAGATGCTGTTATAATCCATAATGTATAATATGCTATAATCTGATGTTAAGCGGCTATTTATGAATCGCAGCTGGCGTTGTGTGCGATCCCCTATGAGACGAATCAGCGCATCATTGCACCCTGGTTTGGATCAATACCAACGGAGCAATCGGACGATGAACAAACGGTTCATCAATGATCAATCGCGACTGAATGATTCCAATTCTCCAATTGGAACCGCCAATCATCCATTGTTTCCTGCAGGTAAGCGCTGCTTTGTGCAGTTGAGAGGGGGCTTGACCTTTGCTCGAACGGGACCTACATTATTGTTATTTGCAACTTCTTTTGACTACTTAAAAGCACTGCAGCACTTACCCATCAAGAACTGCAGCATTATTGGGGTCTGTCTTATACTGAGCAATTGAGCATCTTGCTTCGGTTCACTGGTCGGCTGTAGGCATCATTAGGGCATTTCTGTAGGAACGGCAACAGCAACTAAATCAGTTTCAGTCATTGCAGCCAAAACAGCCAGCAACAGCGTTCAAAGTCAATTTACAAAAGCAGCTCAACTGCAGTCCAATTGTTTCATGCAATGCCATTTGAAATTATGTTGGATTTTGAATGATTTCAAAGGGGTTTGAACAGTTCGAACAGCAATAGCCTTTTCCACGACGGAACATTGGACACCTATGTATTTTACTTTAGTTGAAAGCAAAGAAGCCAAGCAGTCGACACTTATTCGAAAGGTGGAAAGTCGCCATGCAGCCCTAAATAAACAACTGCTGCTAAAACTGTACCAAATGCACCAAAGTGATCAGATAGGTCCCTAATATTCCTTCGTAAAAAGAATATGTGTATTCATGTTAGTTTTTCCCCATTTTATATCTCTTTTCAACACTTAGTTGGAAACAATTATACTTTTCCCTTTCCCGGCGGCGAGATATAATCGATGCGTTGGGCGCTTCAAGGTCTGATTATGGTACGATCGATGCGCCATTGGTGGGCTTCGGAACGTTCTGTGAAGCGACGGGGCTGTTTGACACAGGCCCGAGGTGTCGACGTGACTGCCACCAATGGACGGGAGAGAGAGAGAGAGAGAGAGAGAGAGAGAGAGAGAGAGAGAGAGAGAGAGAGAGAGAGAGAGAGAGAGAGAGAGAGAGAGAGAGAGAGAGAGAGAGAGAGAGAGAGAGAGAGAGAGAGAGAGAGAGAGAGAGAGAGAGAGAGAGAGAGAGAGAGAGAGAGAGAGAGAGAGGATGTGGCGTGCAATAGTGTACACAAGTATATTTGAACATTGCTAAGGTTAAGGACGCTAAGAAGGATTTTAAGTTTTTGATTTTATTGTGAGCCCAACACATACTTAACCCTCGCGGGCCCGGGGGGCGTTTTTCGCCCCCCCCCCTGGCGAATATTTGCGATAGCTCCCGAACGCTTAGGGATAGGAAGGCGAAACTTTTAGTACCTTTTCTCCCATCAATTTGACATCTTCTGAAGTAAAAAAATTGGTCCTAGCCCCCTTGATGACGTCACAAGGTCCATTTTTCTAGACCCCTGCACGGCAAACTTCGACGTCAGAGACGCAAACTTCAAATAGCTGCTAAAAATAGAGTTTTAGAGATAAAGACAAATTACAGCACGGTTGTGTAGCGTTTGACCTAGAGAAAAACAGAAAAATAGTTTTGGTGACCTGAGTTCAGAGGTCAGGTCAACGACCCCGAAATGTGGTTTTAGTTTTTCGCAAATAAC